CTAGGTTATGATGAGTGATCATATCATTTACAAAAAGTGCTTTCGTAGAAAGGGACCTGATATTCAATAAGCCAAGCTTTATCATTTGTTTATCCATATTGCATCTGTTTTTTATTTGTTGAACATCAATTAAATTGTTACTCTTAAATTGGTTTGGACGTTTTTTGTATTTTTTGTTCGGGGAACAGACACAGTCTCTATAGTGTGATAAAGGGTCTCTAGGGTCTCTATGTGCTGAGAATTGACTGACTTATGTATGTGACGTGAGGTGGCTAGCAGATAGCCAGTCTAACTCATCCAATTATCTATGAAACCTATGTTATTCTGTGGGCACCACTTAGACATCCAGCCATTGAGTGACGACAGTCTGCTATGTATCTCATCACCACGGTAAGCAGGGAGGGGACCAGAGCATATTACAGTGTCTGACATCGTGCTTGCAAGTTCACACACCTCTTTAATGTTATTTTTCGTGATCTCCGACTGGCGAAGTCGAACATCATTAGATTGAATAACAATCTTAGTGAATTTACGTTTAGCATTAGACAGCACTTTTAAATTTGCCAAGATGTCAGGCGCTCTGGCTGCCGGTAAACATTGGACTATGGTGGCTGGTGTCTCTATTTTTTAAGTTCCGTACAATAAAATCGCCAATAACTAGAGCACTTTGATCAGGTTTCTCAGCGGGTGCGCCACTGAGTGGGGAGAACCTGTTTAATGTTTTGATCAGAACGGAAGAGCGGTGTTTTGTCCCGCAACTATGCCGCCTCACAGTCACCTAATCGCCCTGCTGCGGGGGCTCTGCAACCAGAACAGAACAATGTACAGGACTCCCTGAGCTAGTTGCATCCAAAGCCATATCTACAGCCCTCACATTCTTACTGTCCTCAATTAAAGTTTGGATGTGTGAGAGAGAAAAGAAACGGAGCGAGAGAAAAAAAAAAGAAAACCGCAATAGACGCGAATGACAAGCTAACCGGCTAACCAATGCTAATGCGGTGCACTCACGGTTTTAGAATAAAAGCGAACTATCAAATTAATCAGATTAGTTTGATAGATAATATCAGAAATATGGTGGGAATTAAGTTATATTTTATCACTTTAAACAACAGAGAGTGATAGTAAGATAGAGATTCAACAGAAAAGTGAAGCTGCACGGAGCTACAATCACAAACCACTCAGACAGCAGACAGGAAACGGAAACGGAGATCTCGAACATACATACATTTCATACTCTTCATACATTGCTAATAGAGGAATCCATAATTTATCTTCAAAAGCTTTGTATATATCAATTGGTATTTCATCTGGTCCAGCTGTTTTACCACTCTTCATATTCACTATAGCATTTAAAACTTCTTTACTAGTTAGAGGTTCTTCCAGTTGTCTTTTGGCTTCACTGCTTATAGAAGGCTAAGACTATCTAAAAATAAATTTTGCTCCATACTCTGTTCTGCAGATTCTGCAGTATATAACAATAGGAAGAATTTAGAAAAAGTTTCTTTAATCTCCACTGGATCTGATTTCAGATTACCAGCTGTTGTATAAATATTATTTATTGCTTTACTTGATTGTAATTGTTTAATCTGCCATGCTAAAAGTCTGCCTGACTTCTCTCCATACTCATAAAATGCTTGTTTGAGAAGCATTAAGCTGGCTTCAGCATTTGCTGTAGATAGTTCATTATACTGCGCTCTTAAAATGAGCAGCTCCTACTTAAGTAG